TACGGAGCACCTCCAGTTGTTCCCAGTTTTTCTGTCCACGGCAAACTGAAAACCAAGCCGAAGGGGAGAGCCCGTCCCTGCAGTCAGGGCGGCTCTGCGGGGAGCACAGCAGCACCCGTCACCTCGTTTGAGGTGAAGCTGTCCTGGCAGAGCCAGCTCACAGAGCCAGGGTTCAGAGAAATTAAACTTAAAGGGCAGATTTTTTCCAAAGGTTCATGTTTGTACACAACCTAACTGCTGCTCCCCTTAGCCAAGCCCGCCGCCCAGCCAAAAGCAGAGCGGGACGTGGTAGAAGAATGACATTTGCTCTCAGCTTCATTTATGTAAAAATCACATTTTACTGGCCGTGCCGGCTGTGAAACCTGGCCCCAGAGACTGCTCCTGGGGTCCGGAGGACACGGCCCCTCCAGGGCCTGCAACACGCAGGAAGGGATGGCCTTTGGGTGAAGCCGTTTGATAAATTAAGACAGGCTCAAACCACACACCACCCGCTCTGCCATCGCACGGCCAGCTGCGGGCTGCTGCATCGCTCCAGGGTCCGGCCCCGTGTGCAGCAGCAGTCGGTGGGACATGACACCGATTTGAGGAGCGTTCCCGTGTCCGCACAGCCTTCCCGCTCGTTCTGGGGACACACACCAGCTGCTTTAGTTCACCCCTTAAATTCTCTTTCAAACCTGAACCCCTGCCAGGCTGAGGCTCTCCCGAGGGGCAGGAGCGCATCGCTCGCCTGCTTGCCTTTCAAGGGGAGGCAGCAAAGGAGAAGGTGTCCTGGAAGTGCTGCTGCTTTGCCAGTTATTAACGGGGTCACAGCGAGCAAACCCCAGAGCCCCACGGGACTGTCGGTGGGGGACCACAGAAATCCCAGGGGTTATTGCCCTATAACAGTCAGGTTAGCACCAAAGTGATTTTATGACACTGACAGATGTGAAATCATGGGAGACTTGGGCAGAAAATAACCCCAGAATGGGCCAGCTACATTTTGAAACTGCCTTATGGTTGTAACTGGCCTCTGCCAGCTTGCCTTTGGGAAGGAACCTCTCTCCTTGAGAAAGATTTCTTGGTGCAGGTTTTCTGGCTCACACTGGGCTTTTGGTAACTGTATATTGCGTATGTATAGATCAATGGAGCATACGTGTCTGCACTTGCCTCAGCATCTTCAACCTCAAGAGGTTGATTGAACTTGGAATATGACAGCTATTTGAAAATGAAGCCGTCACTGGGAAAAGACACAAGCGCTCTCACTCAGCCAGCGCTGGGTGGGAAACGCAGCGACCAGAGCACACCTGCCCAGGCGCCAAACCTGAACCAAGGCAGCCCCGGCTTGTTCCCCGCACCGGGAGCGGGCTCCCGCCAAGCAGCAGCACAGCACTGCACCCCTGCAGCCCCCAAACCCCCTGCAGCCCCCAAACCCCCTCCCACCCGCCTCAGAGCCGGGGACCAGGCTGCAGCAGCACCAAACGCTACAGAAATCGGTTCTCACAACCAGCCACCACCTCCCAAACCCTGCCCGACCGCAGCAGCTGGCCCAGACCCTACCTCAGCCCCAAGGGGCAAAGCCGCCATCCTCCTCGCAGCCCCGGGCTCACCCCACCAGCAGCCACCGCAGGAGCTGCCCTAGCAGGGGCAGGGGGCTCTTGTCCTCAGGTAATTGGTGGCAGCTGATGGCACCATTCCCAGCTGGGGACACTGATTAAATCAGCACCAGCCTGGCAGGTAGGAGCAGCTGGGTTAGGGCAGCCCCGGGTCGTGCCAGGGCCAGTGCGGGACTCTGGACCCGCTGTTTGGCCTGGCCACATTGCACCGAGTTAATTAAATTGATTTGGATTTTGCGAAGCGGCTGCAGCGCCGCTGCCTGGGCTCCCCAGCAGCAGGAGTGTCTCGTCTGAATGGAGATTAAAGTACGCTCAGTATTAGGTGTTCCCGATATTGTGCATTCTTACACCAAACTAAAGACGAAGACACTCATCTGGGATTTTCCTGGAGTAACAGAGGACCTGGGAGATTTGCAGTTTTTTTCTTCCTACCTCCAATAGGTGATTTCTGGACCGCAGTATTTTTTAGCTGGCAGGGGACAAGGCAGCAGGCAGGGGGGCTGGTGAGCAGAGCAGGGACCCACCTGCACCAGTGGCTGGACCACGCCGTGTCCCCAGGCCCATCACAGCCCCAAGCACCAGCCCAGCCGGGGTCAGGAGATGGCCAGCCCCCAGGAGATGGCAGCAGCCCTTCATGTTCGTGTCCTCCTGTTGGAAATCAGCCCCTGGCCACCTTTCTGGAACGCTCGGCTGCCGAGGAGGGAGAGCTTGGCTCGCCCCACGTCCCCGTGCCCCGGCCGACGGGCTGTGCCTTATCTCCGCAATCGCTCACCCACAGGACCAAAACCTGCCCACGTTCTTGCCCCGGCCACGCACGGCAGCAGGCACAGCAGGGAGATTTTCGTTTATCCCAGAGCGCGGCTGCTAACACATAATTGAACCAAGTCAAACGCCAGTTTTGCATGACTGAATTTACTTTTTAAAATGTACAGTTTCTGGAACACGATGACTGGTCAGCAGAGACACCGAGTGCTTGCGATTCCCTCGTGTGCCGGGGTGCCTGGGACGGGGCACGGGGAGCAGCGCCCCGAGCTGCGGGGTGGGAAGGGGCCGAGCAACCGTGCCCCGGGCCGGGCGGTGGCTGGCCCCCCTAGAAACCTGCACCCACGCTGGAAACTTTGTCCTCTCTCTTCCCTGGCTGCCCTGATTTTGCTTTGTTTGTTTGCAGTGTTTTGCAAATACTGCATATCTTTGGGTTGGGTGGGGTTTTTTGCATAGCAGGAGTAGGAAGCGAAGGCAGGAGTGTCGCTCCCCGCGTGGCTTTTCAGTGATTACTTGGCTCTTGTGCATAAACCCTGCCTGCCCCAACCGTCTGTGCTGCAGGTATCACACGTGGGCAAAACCATCCCGGGAGGACGCAAGTGCACCCCGGAGGCATCGGTGACCCTCTCCGGTCACAGGGAAACCGCTGATTAAAGTGGCTAAGTGGAAATGACCAAGGGACAAAAGCAAATGCCACGACTGCCATGCTGTCGTGCATTAATCGGAGCTGTGCAGCAGCAGCCGGTAACGATGGCACACGCAGAAAGCAGGGGCAGGACCGCCTGTGCCCCAGCACCCTCCGTGGCTTCGCTGGGTGCCTCTGCCTGCACACAGCAACCACTTGCCCCACCACAGAGCTCGCACTGGCCCCAGTGCCACCTGGGCTGGAACTGGGCCATAACATCGAGGCCGAAAAGCCCAGCTCCTGGTTTTAATGCCCGGGTTGTTTAAATGACGGGTGGTGGGCATTTGCTGTCTGCCACCCTGGGGAGCACACCTGCCCCCCGTATTTCTGCAGCTAGCCGGTCTTCTGTCAAGTGCTGTGTCCTCGGAAGAGAGGAGGCTGCTCTATCTGTGCTAAGAAAAGGCAGTGATACATCCCGTTTCTGGGAGCGACTGCTAAAAATAGCAATATCTGTATCTGGAGAGCGGAGGGAGGAGGGAGAGCTCGGGGTCGGCTTACAGGCAGGGTGGCTGGCAGGCAGGGCTGGCAGGCAGGAGCAGCCAGCGACGGCATCGGGGGCAGCCCCTGATTCCCAGCGCTCAGTGCAGAAAACAGTTCGCTATTCCCATTTAGCACGGCCACGCTTTAGCCCTGCGGCTCTGGCGATGGGTTGTGGCGTGGTTCTGTTGGTTAACCAGTGACAACGTGAAGCGCTCCCACGCGTAACTGGCCGGCTGGGTGCCGGAGGGCAGCATGTTTCCCACCTCTGCTACTGACTCTTCTCATCACCTTCAATGCATCTTTTAATTTTTTGGGGCATAACCAACTTCTCTCAGCACCCTGGCTGTGTCACCCCCCCCCCCCCACACGCAAAAACCGCCCACCCCCCTGGCGCTGTCCCCCCCCCCCCCCCCGCAAAGCAAAACCAGCTCCCACCGTGCCCAAGGGTGGGCACACGAGCGGTTCGGTGCTGGGGGCGGGATGGGTGAGCTTCACTGCAGGGCTGCCAGTATGCTACCGGAGAGAGGCATCCACAGGCCTGCCCCGCGCCTGCCACAGCGTTTTCTGTTGATGGCTTCGCATCGGGCCCTTTCACAGCTTCTTGGTCCTTTTCGTCCCAGACTCCTCCCGTGGGTGAGCTGCCCACGCTGATCTCCAAATGCCGACTACGAGCCCGCGGGATGCTGTTGCCCAGGCAGCACAGCAGTGCCGATGCCATGAGCTGCCCCGTCGTCCCAGCTGCCAGGAGACACCCTACGGCCACAGCCCTGCCTCCAGGATGGTGCTCAGCTACAGATTCGTCATTCCCTGCCTGGAGACCACGACCTGGGACTGCTATTACTTGCACCGGGATTATTTTAACCCAAAATCCTTACTCTAAAGACAAGCTCCCATTTCGATCTATAGGATGGTGGTGGGTTTGCATTCAAATCCAGGGAGTGGGGTAACCCAGCCTGCACAGAGAGTAGTCTCTTGAGAGGTATATAAAGATGCTTCATAATCCCGAGTGAGGTAGCTGAGCAGCATGGTCCCGCTCCCCGCCGGGAGGGGACATGGTCAGCGGGGGCTGCAGGAGGTGGCACAGGAGCCAGGATGCCTCTCGGGGCCTCCTGGCCCCCAGCCCCCCCCCGCCAGGCACAGTTTCTTAGGATAACCAAGTTCCTACTTGGTCATCAGAGCACCAGGATGGAAAAACAAAGGCCAAGGGCCCAGAGAGCAAGCTGCAGGTGAAACTGCACCCTGGACTTGCACCCTGGGCAGATTTCAGGCACTGGGGTCTTTTTTTTTTTTTTGCAAGTGCAAAGGCTAGGCTCAGAGTTGCAAGAGCCAAACCAGAGGGGGAGGCAAGGTTGGTCTTAAATTTTCATGTCACTTCATCTGCAGAACTTGCTGGGGACCCGTCGGATACATAGGTGAGAGAAATGTTGCGTTTGGGTTTGTCTTCCAGTGCGCTGGTAGGACACAGCCGGGCACGGCTGGGCTCAGAGAAGGTCTTTCATGATATCCGATGGCAGGGCTTCTCCCGCCACATTTGCAGCGCCCAGGCCCGACCTTTTCCGTGTGACAAGCACCATCACCTGCACCGTCCTCTTCAGCCCCGGCTGGCAAGCAGCTCCATCGGCCAGGATAGCCAGGGGAGCGCGCCGGGGCGAGCTGCCGGGCACCCGGGGGAGCTTGTAGCACTTGGGGTAGTTACTGAAACACTCAAAAGTGTCGTCGCAGTTTCTGCAAGCCCCAGGGTGGTCACCGAAGCCCGGGGACGGAAAGGGCTGGAGCGCAGCACTCGGGCAGCCACAGCAGAGGATGGTGCGGATGGCCTGGAAGAGCACCACGTCCTTGGAGAGGAACTTCTGGAAGTTGGGCTTGAAGAGCAGGTACACTAGGGGGTTGTAGAGTGTCGAGGACTTAGCAAAGACAGCCGACAGCACGAAGGCCAGTGCCGGCACCTGGCTGGCGTCGCCGAGGACTGCCCACAGGGCAACGATGGCGTAAGGGGTCCAGGCAGCCAGAAACCCCAGGCACACGGCAATGCTCAGCTGGAAGAGAAGGAGATGGAGACGGCAGTGCCGTCAGCCTCGTGCAGCACACACAGGATGCTGACCCCCCACACCCCCCCAAACTCAGCCATGTGCAACGGGGCCCGAGCAGTCGGTCAGATCCCCAGGGAAAGGTGCTCAGCTCTCTGGACCCATTGCACCGGAGCATCAGGGTTTCAAACATCAGGGCAGCAACTCAGCACGCCTCAGCGTGGGCACATAAACCTGCACTGGCTTCAGGCGACTCACACCCTGTCCCACCTGGGAAATTTGGGAATGGCCTCAGCCTGCCATGGCAGATGGGTACAAAGCACCCAATGACCCAGCTTGGACCAGGCCAGCATCAGAGTCCAGCAGTCTTCTGGCAGCGCTCAAAATCCCTCCGGCAATCTGTGTGCTGGGGTGCAGACTGACCGAGAGGCTCTGGAAGCGGGCGATGCTCAGATCCCCCCTTCTCTAAGCAGACACGAATGCTTCCTTCGAGGCCAGGCTTGCAAGCTGTTTTCTTTCATGTGTTTGTTTTTTTTTTTTTAAAGGGTATGCACTTTTTTTTTCACATATCCTTGGCAAATTGTAGTATTAGCTTGTAGTCTGGGGAACAATGACTCATGCAAGCTCCTTTTATGATCTTTTCCAATGTAATTTAAAATGAAAACTCCTCCACCTGATGGCTTTAAACGAGGAGAAATGTGCTCTTACCCACACTGATACAAACACCTGGAGAATTCATCGGGAGCGGCAGACACCCCTGGCTGGCAGAAGGGGTCCAGCCACGTTCGCCTGCCCGCAGGCTGGGGCAAGGGGCACCCCGAGCCCCCGCAGCACCCCGAGCCCTCCCCTACCTTCACGACCAGGCTGTGCACGCTGCAGGCTCTGCGCCGGGGGGACGTGTGCTGCCTGACGGCTCTCCGGGACACCTGCACCGTCCAGAGGATCAGCGAGTAGGAGACGAGGATGAGAAGGCAGGGGAGAAGGTAGCAGAAGATGAAGAGGGCAAGGATGTAGAGCGTGGCCTCCCTGCTCGAGGCTTTCCATGTGATGCAGCAGGCTGTCCCATAGGGCTCGGGGCCGTAGCTGCCCCACTCGGCCAAGGGGGCTGTGGCAAACATCAAGGCGTATGCCCAGACGCACAGCACCAGCACTCCGGCGTGGCAGGGCGAGAACTTGTTGCCTGCAGCAGAGGGATCGGGGTGAGGGTGGTTTCCCATGGGCAAGGGGGAGCGGAGAAAGGGGCTGTGACCCCGAGCTGCCCACACCTCCAGGCACGGGGGACACCGCCAGCTGCACTGGGACATGGTCAGGGCCGCCCAGGCAGGGCAGCACTGCAGCCATGGAGTGGGCAGAGCCGCACCAGCGCTCACCCCCAGGCCCCAGGACACACAGGCGTCCTCCTGTCCCCTTGGGTGGGCGGCCAGAGCAAGGAGCCAAGAGAAACCTAAGGGTTTGCCCCAATCTGGGCAGCAAGTGGCAGGATCAGGGAGACAAGTGGCAGGATCAGCTGTTCAGCCTCTCTCGGATTTGGGAGGAATGGCTGGGAGGTTGTGTGGCCGCTGGTGGCACGGGGGGGACGCTGCACCCGCGGCCCCACGGGGATACAGCTGCACCCATGGGCAGCCGGGAGGGAGGGATGGAGGGAGGCTGCCTGGCTGCAGCAGCCTGAGCACGGGGCAGGGAGAGCTGGCTCCAGGACTGCTCAATGCCATCCCAGACACTGCCATTTGAAGGACCTTTTCCTCCCTGGCAGAGTGAAGCACTGGGGGAGGTGGGCTTTTTCCTTTTTGTCCCTTCCCCCATCAAATCTAAAACTCCCTGATCTTCTAAGAGCTCAGTATAAAGTGCAAAATCTTCAGCCATACAAAGGAGTAACATTTTTCTTTGAAACTAAGCAATTAAAAGCACATTGGGATTAGCCATTTCCTCACGGAAAATCACGGGGAGATAAGCTCAACATGCCAGGCTGCCAAGCACTGGCTCATCTAGAGCAGAACCTGCGCAGAGAAAAGCCACCGGTACCTGGGCTGCCTTTTAACAGCCAACTTTTATCTTTATCTTTGCTTCCACCTTTTTACTGATCTCCTGAGCTGTTGTGCTGGCACATAACCAAGGTGACTCTGCTCCAGCATCGTCCTTGAGGCACTGTCAGCTGCTGGGGACAAAGCACATTGGCGGTTGGCAACAGCCGCAGGCTCGGGGCAGACGGGCAGCGAGCCACGGGAGAGGGGGTGAGGATGCACCCTGGGGTGCTGGTCTGCAAATCAAACTAATATCTTTGATTTCCCATTTTATTTCTATTTTTGGTCTTTAATCTGAAGTCTATGCTGAAGATACATGCTAGATGGAGGATTAGCAGCTGAGCTAAGGAAATTAAGAAGCAACTCCAAATAGGAGGAGCTGTAAATGTCTTGGGGACATCCCTGGATCCCCTCGCTTCCTCAGGTGCTCTCTGCAGGGCAAGCCCTCTACAAAGGGCTGGTGCCCAAGCTTAGCGCTGCAAACATTCACACTAGCTCTGCGGAGGAAGTCCAGGTGAAAACAGGGCTACAGAAGTGAGCTACAACACTGCAGACCCAGCCCTCCTGTATTAATTATTTCAGTGAATTAAATACATTTGGCCTATGGCTCTCCCACCAGGGAGAAGGGAAAGCGGCTCTTCCTTGCATGGCCAGAGCGTGTGGCTTCCCAGATGCAGAGACTGCTCTGGCCTAAGCTCAAGTCTGTGTGTGAACATTCAAAACCCCGTGACCTGCTGTGATACAGCAGCTGGGACTTTTCTCCAGGGGGGGGACAACCCCCTTGATACTTTTGTGGATGATGCTCCTGAGCCCTGAAGCGAAGCAGGCTCTGGAGGCAGGGACGGCCGAGATGCATGCACAGGTCATGGGCACAGAGTGACGGAGCTCCGTAGCCCCACGCAGGTGGAGGGGGCTGAATACACAAGTGATAAAAGCCTTCAGTCTGCTGCACCCGTGTATTGACTGGGAATAGGTTGCCCTGGGGCAAAGCTTTCCCAGAAGAGGTGGATCTGGCCCGTAAAAGAAGGAAAAAAAAGGGTTATGTTAACAGAGAGGGGTGTAAGCATAGATCAGATAACGCATCCCAGCACCTACCATATGCGGGGTAACAGACCTTCAGGCAGCAAACCGTGCTGAGCACCGTCAGGCTGGTGAGGCTGCACAGCCCGAACAAGACCCCGCAGAAGGCGTAGAGGGTGCACACCGCCTGGTTGAACAGCCACCTGCAAGGGAAAGCCTGTGGGTAAACCCAGCCCTTGCCCTCTGCCCGGGCCGGCTGGCTGACAGCCCCTGCCACGCGCCTGGACGGGAATTGTCTGTGCGGTACCTGCCGCGGAGGAAGGCTGGGAGCTTCCCAGCCCGCTCTCCTGGCAGCAGTGGGTGGTGGGGCCTCAGCCACTGGTCCCACACCAAAAGCAAAGCCGACTGTGCGTGGGGCGGCTGCAACGGGCTGCACGGATACCAGCGCCTGGTTGCCCAAGAAAGCATGGGCATGATCTTGTCCCTGATTTGTTCCCTGAGCATCCCAGTGACAGGCACAGATGGAGCCATGGGTGTGGGAGCTGCCCCGATCCACACTGGCGCACACCACTGCGATGCCTGTGCCATGTGGGCGCCAGCTTGGAAACCCACCACCAAACCCCTTGTACAGCAAGTCTGTGTGATAAGGTGGAGGGAACAGCCAGGCACCCTGCGGTGGGGTGGACGTCTGTGAGGTTACACGGTGCCCCAGTGCCACCAGGCGGACTCCTTGGGTCCCTTCGGACCGCTGTCAGGGATCTCCTCGTTTCAAGACAAGGTTTGCAAACTGCACCCAGAGCCATTGGCCAGTGCAAAGCCGCTTCCACAAGGTACCTGTGTGCAAAGAAGGAGGAGGTGGCCAAGGGGAAGAGTGTCACTGTCATGCTCAGGTCACTGATAGCCAGGTTGACAATGAAGAACTCGGCAGGCTTCAACATGGACCTCTTCTGATAGGCCACCAGCAGGAGCAGCGAGTTCCCAGAGAGGGACACGATGCCTGCGGAGAAGGCAGAGGAACAGTGCTGTAACAGAGCCGGGAAAGAAGCCAGGATCATCTTGAGATGTTTGGAAGCAAACACCGGACATGTCTACAGAGGGTGGAAAGGGCTCCCTCTGCAGAGCTAGATGAGCAGGGGAGCCCATGGGACCTGCAGAGCTCTGTGAGCACATCTGGAGCTGCTTTACATTGAATTTGATCCCTTCCCCTTCCTGAGATCCTACAGAGGCATTTGGTAGGAAGGCAGCGATGGGATGAGACTGAAACGGGCTCCGGGTGCAGGATCTGGCCAGAGTCACTTCTTCCAGCTGGAAGGAGCGAGGGGGGCACTTCCTTCCAGCTAGATAAATAACGGGAGCTTTGTGCGATTGCTCTTCTGATGTGAGGCCAAGGAGCTGGGCCCCTTTGCCTTTTTAATTTCTTCCTGGCAATGTCACTCCTGTGAGTCTGTGTTGTCCAATATCATGGTAACAAAATAAACAAGAAGAAAGGCATTATGGAGATCAAGGAAAATCCAGACTAAACAAAAGAAGGCTCTTTGTTTGCTATTAGTGTATTTAAAACAACAGTGGTGATTAAAATTTCATAACAAGGGCTTTCTCTCTTTTTTTAATTACGTAATTGTGCTTTCATTGAAAAGAGGTTTCAGTGTCCTCAGAAGGGGAATCTTTGCTGCTCTTGGGGCAGGTTGGGTAGGATGAGAGTTTCTCCCTAATGGATTAGGCTGTAAATTAAATATCATGGTAAGAACCAGCTTCCAAAGCCACTGAACAGCCAACACTAAAGTTCCTCTCAGGAACAGGATTCTCACGCAAGACCTGGACAAATCCAGGGCTTTGGAGGCTTTGGAGTCACTGGAGGGTAGAGTACTGAGATGTTTGTCCTTGTTCCTGGCCTCATGAGGCGTTTTTCCCACAGACCCAGTCTCACATCTGCACTGAGTACATTTGATTAACTTCACTAACTTCTAGGAGCTGTAGGTGCCTACAGGAGTGCTGGCAGTCCCAGCGGCGTCAGCATCTCTTGGGTTCCCTATGCTTGCAGGTGTGAAAAACTTCTGGCATTTGGGAGACAACGTGCTCAGGGCTCAGAAAATTGGAAGGCTTTTCTTTGGCCATCATTCACTTCTGGCCCACACCAACCAGGTCTAGGCCACCTCAGAGCACATCCCAGCCCCTCAGTTTTGCCTGCTGGCTTTTCAGTGCCACTAACTCCAAATCACAGGACACTCACCAGCATCTTCTGCGGAAGGGAAGGGCCAGCTGGAGGTCCAAATCACCTTCAAGAGTCATGAAGCTGGCAATGCCAAGAGGGTCCCTGTCCATCACCCATTGGGTGGCTGCAGCAGGAGTTACAGCATGTTCCTCAAAGGTTGTTCTTCAACTTTTCAAATATTTAAAAACATAACTGGTACTTGCAGCTCCCCTGAGAGGGGAATGCAGTCACCAAGCTTTGGCTAGATCATCCTTTTGAGTAAGGTGGGGAGGGCTAACAGGGGAAGGGCCAGTTTGATTATTCTGCTAATCACTGAACACTTCTGGAAGCATCAGTGACTGCAGAAGGCCTGAATGTCTCTGGCAGGCAGGTACCTGGGCTGCCCGCAGCAGGGACACAGGTATAACAGCCCGTCTTTCCTTACCAAAGACTAAATAGAGTGTGCCAAAAATCAGGTCTTCTCTCTCCGATAAGGTGGAGATGAACACCGAGGCATTGGACGTATTTCCCATCTGCAAAGCAAGATACAAGTACAAGTGAGAGTGAATTTTGGCTAATGAAGGAGTGCTCGGCTTCCTCGGTTCCCAGGGAGGACAGCCCTGCGACGCGCTCCTGGCACGGTGCTGCAACCAAGCCAGCGGCGTGCAGCCCCCCGGCCCACCACTGCGGGAGGTGGCTTCGTTAATGCTGCATGCAGCACTGACCTAACTGGCTGGGCAGGGGGCCGATAATGGGATCAGGCTGGTAATCTCACTTGATTACTGTATCTTCAATGACAGATTTTACTGATTAGCATTAGCCTTTGGATCTAAATTTTCTTTGCAAGTCTCGGCCATGTGCTGACTGCAGCAGGCGCTGCGTGTTTGGACGGGGGGACCAGCTGCTTGGAGCTGGAGGCTTCGTGTTCTGCAAAGTCCCCCACCTCCTCCAGGCTTGCCCCGTCCTTCGTGTGCCTCTGCCTGTCCCTGTGTCCACATCAGCAGAGAGACTTGGCCCAAACTGCCCTTGTGATGCAGCCAAGACCCGTTCATGTGCCATCCCGGCGGCATATTAATTGCCTCTACTGCGAGACGTGCACTGCGTGCGCCGAGAAAGACCTCTGCAGACAAAGTGACTTGCAACAAGCTGTTCATCAAACCCCGGCCCAGGAGACCCCACAGCTGGGGACAGAAAGGAATTGTCACCCCAGTCATCACTGTGCCTGGCTGGGACCTTCAGCTGTAACTAAATCTGATCCGTGCTGCCAGCAGTGCAGGCGGTGAAGAACTTGAGGGTGAACTCATGTATTACCAAAAAAAAAAAAAAAAAAAAAAATAG